AGTTTTAAAAAGGCTGCCTCCTTCTTCTTAAGAACCCTCTCCTTCCCTATATGCCTTGTCTTCATTCTGCCTCTGAGTTTAAGAGTTAGTAATTCCTACTTGAACCTCACATTTGTTCTTTACCTAGCTTTCCTAATCTCAAATATTAAATGATCTATAAGCTAATATACTGAATCCTTTATATAACAAAGCTCTCTCTGTAATGCAAATAATCACTCTATAATTCAGTCATGTTGTACATGTGAATTTTCGTGAAGTGGCCTACCCCAGTTATACAAGGAAGCACTTTTCCCAGGAAGTAAAAAGGCAACTGGGACATGCTGAAAGGGAGCCTGGATAGTCGATTAGCACAGGTGGAATGTTGCTTATCTTCCTAAGGGTCTTTCTCCCTGCTGATCTCTTCCTTCCTGTTTGCCTTTGATAGATGTTTAGGATTAGATAGGTAACCTGGGAATGATTCATGTGAAAYTGAAGGTCAAAATTTATTGACACATATCATTTTACTAGACTATGGGTAAATAATCTCCTATGGGGGGGAAAAAAAACTGGGTTTGGGTTTCCCCAACAATTTTGAACATTAAATCAACTAATGTAGTTTTGATTGTAAGGAAACTTTTCTATTATACTCTTTTAAATCACAAAATTATTTTTCCATATTTTGTATAATGTTCCAAAGAAACCATCCAAATACCTCCTTGAAAGAAGATATTAAGTAGGAGTATTTCAGCTTTGGAGACTTGCATGTAGTTACTTAAAACATTGTAAATATTCCCCTCGTCCTTGAAATGCACCATATAAATATTGCATTTGATCCTTAACTTACACTTCATAAATAATTTATTTCAAAAATATTCCTCCATAAGACCATCAGTTGCTGAGGTGTTCAGTTTTCGGGGAAAGCATTTATTTACTGCATGAGCTGAGGAAGGCTGGTAAAGACTTGGCTAAAAGCTCCACGTGGAGCAAATTATGGTAATTATATTAATGCTCAAATCCATGACGCTCAATGCTCAAATCTGTTAAAAGGTTTTGTGCTATACTGCCCACATYTTGACGGGCAATGAGGCCACTGAAAATGCTTAACACTTTACAGGGAGACTTCCGAGATTCATTTTTCATAGTTCCAAGAATTGTTGAAGAATGTCTGGAGGTGGCTTCCAGAGGAGTTTCTGAAAGTCACAACTGAGAGTAAATGTCTTCTGCCTCAKGTTCAGACCGAAACTCCAAGCTCAAGTGCCCGGAAATGGAAATCAAAGGAAGCTTCCCACAGTTAATTTTGACGAATGGATGAGTTTTAATTCGTGCTTGGCAATATTCTGGTTAATGATGTCTCCTTTGCACATCCATTAAAAACCCATTAACTTAACAGGCAAAATCTAATAAAGTTACCCTGGAAATTTTCTGCTAGATTAACATTATGGACTTTAAATGAAAATTTCGGTAGGTATTGCTCTATTAGCAGAACTAATATACTAGTGAAACATGTACCTCATGTAAGATGGGGAAACGAAGAAAAGTGTTAAAATAATCAGAAAAGGAGATGACTTGAGGCCCAAGTTGCCAAAGATTGCTGAMGCCATTAAGTACCCTCATCACAACTTTTAAAAGCAAGAAGCATCAACCTCCAAGTAGGAGGTTGATATGATCATAAATTTATCCAATTACCAATCAAGTAGTAATTTAGCTATAAAAATGTCATGCTTTCTGCTAGTACTGGAAAGACAAATGTAAATAAATGAAAATTCTTGTGCTTAAGAGCTCACAGTCCAGTATGGAATCAAGATATCTAAACAAGTAATCAAGGTGTTAAGCATTTCCAGTACTATTCTAAAGCTAATATCTAACACGACTCAGGAAACTCAGGGAAGAACAAGTAACTTTGGGGGACATACTAACTTTAAAAATCACTTAACTAATTAAATGGAAAAGTGTGTTCCAGTTAAATAGTAGTTTCTTCTAGGTCCTCACATTAGGAAGGTTTCAATCCTGACATCACTTGTTGGTTCTATGCAAGCTTAGATAAGGTAAGTCTCTCTGAGCCTCCTCTGTCAATAGGCTAACAGTGCTTTGGTCAGCAGGTGTAAGAACTACATGAGACAAGTATGTAGAACCCAGAAGGGAGAGGAGAATCAGCATTTACTCACTCACAGGCAAGTGCTCTACCATTAAACTACAATCCCAGGCTCATGGTAAGCTATTTTTTAATTGCTACCAGACAGGACAGTGGAGGTAAAGCAACATTATGAGACTTGTTAACACCATTGGTACTTAGCTCCCAGGTTCAGTGTGTTAGCCCCAATTTGCCTTCCATTCCAGGCCAGAAAGCCCTTTCMCCGGCTGGGGTCTAACAGTTCTTCTTCAAGGCTGGGAGCTCACAGAGAGCCTTCAGACAATCACATTGGGTTCTAAGGACCTAGAGGCCCATTTTAGCCACTAAAGCATCAGTGCCTGGATGTGATTGACTGGATTGTGACCCCAAATTCAGATGCTGAAAGCCATATCCCCTGATGTGATGACTGTAAAAAACAGGGCCTATAAGAAGGTAATTAGGGTTAAATGAGGTCATAAGAGTGGGGCTCTGATCCAACAGAATTAGCATCCTATTGAGAAAAGACATCAGAGCTCATTCCCTACCCTGATGCACAGAAAGGACAAGTGGGCACACACAGAGATGGCAACCACCTGCAGGCCAAGAGAAGAGGACTCAGAATGAACCTATCTTGTCAGCACCTTTATTTTGAACTTCCCAGAATCCAGAAGTGTGAGAAGTAGGTTTCTGTTATTTAAGTCACTATGGTAGCCTAGCAGACTGAGGCACTGGGATCTCTTTGCTGCAGTTTCTCTTAATTCTTGCTATCAATTAGTCCAAATTATTGTGCTTAACCATGCACATTCAGTCAGCAGACTCTTTTTTTTTTTTTTAATTTTTTTGGTTCTGAGGATCGAACCCAGGGCCTCTAACATGCTAGGCAAGCGCTCTACCACTGAGCCACAACCCCAGCCCTCAACAGACTCTTATCAACAACATCTTTATGCCAACACACTCAGGCATAAGGACAGTTCTTTCCTCCAGGGGCTTGGCATCTCTTTCCTGTTTGGATGTTCAGTTACCTTGATGGGAGTGAAGCAGTTTAAACTGCTACTCCCATTGGCAGGATTCCTGACACACCAATAATGGACAGTTTCCCCAGATACCAGGAAGGTAAATGTTTGGCCCTATTTCTCAGCTGCTTTCCCAGTCTCTGGCTCCAAATGGTATCAACATGGAGCACTTTTAAGACAAACCACCATATGATTTAAATTATTGATACTTTATTATGCTCTGCAAAGTTGCATTAACTGATCACACTGCAACCCAACTGTACTCCTCCCCAGTCCAGGCATGGACACTTGTCCCAATCTAGCTCAAGTTGGCTCTGGGTACTGCATATCAGACTACTGCCGAATCCCAGTGGAGGCCAGCCACATAGCCACATCCATTCCCTTAGTCTAGTATGTCCCATGTAAGAGTCAGACCTGGCACCTTAATAGTGGGTAAAGAGCTGGACCTCAATTTCCCCATCTATCATGGGAATCATGAAACAAATAGATTTGTGGGGGTCAACCAAGGTAATGTACATAAATCACCTAACAACATGGAATGTAAATGGTGACTAATGACTGCTGTTTGCTTCCCTCCTCTCTTTCCTTGTTGTGAGCACCTCCCCCATTTTTCCACCTCAGATCCTGTGATGGTTTCAACAAAGCCACAGAAATTCTAGCAGAGCTCTTTCTGCATACCTCCCTGGCTCTGTTCTTTTCTCTAGATGTTGCTATTATTAGTTGAATAGATCATAGACAACATACCAGGATCAGGAGGGTAGATGCTACTTGCATCCTTTGTTTCTATTCTATGTACTTGAATTTTCATAGAGTAGTCCTGGGATTCTACCCAAGATAGGTACATTGAAATGAAATAACTGACTCAGAAATCAAGGTGGTCAGAAATTATAGCAGACACTACTAGTTTGTCAATACTTAACAGTGCAACTTTCAAGATTTAGTGGTCACATAGATGGATACATTCAGTCAATCACTACATTTTCCAGCCACTTCTACAGCCCGCCAGGACCTTCTGAATGAATGCTGGTCAATAGGAAGTGGTCAGATAGGAGGTTATGCTGCCCTCAGAAGACTGTACATAATTCYCCTGGCCTCTATTCTTCTTTCTCACTGGTTGGGAATGGATAAGATCTGAAGCAGTTAGTTTGGACTTACTGTTGGAGGTCCTGCTTGGACAATGGCAAAACTGCACTAATAGCTACTTACCTCTGCTCTATTACACAAGACGGAAATGACCTCCTATCCTTTCTACCCTTATTGTTACAATATTTAGCCTACATGCTAAACAATTCATAACTAGAAATAATTGCTTACCTGATGACAGCTTACTAGAAATTTAAGTAACTGCAATTACTACCTACTAACTGTGAAATGACCTTGTAAATCTCAAACTTTAAAATATCAACTATCATTATCATGTACCTAGGTAAATTTTTTTTTTTTTTTTTTTACCAAACACCTTAGTCACTCACACCTGTGCCATACAGTTAGTGACACACAGAACTGGAAGTCTGGGACTCAAAACTTTGCTCAGCAAGTGCTTGTTCACATTCTATTTTCTGTTTTGTTTGTTTGTTTGTTTCCCCCTGATTTGTCTGATTTTGATCTTTTCAATAGCCTTGACTTGTTCCTTGAACCTAACTCTCAACCATTTCTCTTCTACTCCCTGGAAATATACTATGCATCTCCACTTGTTTCATGCAAGTCCTAATATGAGGGCCTACATCACAACCTACCCATCATAACTGACTCAGTTGAGACAACTCAGAAAAACTGAGTTGACTTCCTACATTTTAATTCAAACAAAACCAAACCAGTACCCAAACAAATACAAAACTTCACCAATATTCTTACTTGCACATACAAATGGCCATTTTCCAAATTTTCTATTGTTTTACCTATTTTGTTGTAATTATCAGCAACAAAGTCTTCCAAACCAATCATCTTCCAGAAACTGTCATCCCAACCTTTCTCAGCTGAATATGTCCATTTGCATACCAGGGAGCAGAGAGACCTAGGAAAATGACAGGAAAGTAAAAGAAACAACATGAACTATGTTTCCTTCATATTTTGCAAAATACCTGTCTAGCTAGCTGCAGTAGTACTGACAAAGTGAAATAAGCCAAAGTAATTATGAATCCCTGTTTAAAGCAAAGGTCTGGGCTGGGGTTGTGGGCTCAGTGGTAGAGCACTCATCTAGCAAGTGTGAGGCACTGGGTTTGATCCTCAGCACCACATAAAAATAAATAAAATAAAGGCATTGTGTCCAACTACAACTAAAAAAAATAATAAATAAATAAATAAATAAATAAAGCAAAGGTCTCTATCTATACCTGTTATTTACCAGTAGTTCCTTCTTTCACTTTCAGAAGAGCCTCAGCCCTTTATTTGGATCCTGATCAAACAAATTCTGAATATGAACATTTACATTTATATTTTTACTTATATGACATTTATGAGAAAAGTAGAAATTATAATACTGATTATCTATTTGATTAAACTGAATTATTATGTTTTAGAAATGACATTGTTAGTTGTAGTTAAGTATTGCTCCTTGTCATTTAGAGATATATATTAAAATATTTTGGTGTCAGATGATGTGATATTTTGAATTTATTTCAAAATAATACTGGAAAGAAAGTGAATGGCATTTTGAATAGGACAGGACTGTTTTGTTTTGTCAGTTGCTGGGCTGACAAATGGGTTGCTAGGTGTCCATTGTACTACTGTGTCTACTTTTGTACCTGTTCAAAATTTTCTGTAATAAAAATGTCTTTAAAAAGTGCCTCATATACATAACTAACATAAATACTTTAGTCTAAAACCATTTTTAATAGGAGGAAGAATTAAGTACTGGATATTTTCCTTTTTGGCTTTATTTTTCATCAAGTCACCCTTAATATTTTACATTCCATCAATAAAAGATTCATTGAGTTTCTCTGGAATAAATGGCATGCTCTTGCACATTCTGTGCCTCTGACCTAACCCCAGCAGTTTGTAATATTCTTCCCAGTTCTTCTCCTTAATGTTTCAAACTCTTCCTTTAGCCTAACCTGGGACTCCACTTTGGTATTCCTTTTCTGAGCTTCCAGAGCATGGAGTATATCTTATCACACTGTGTAATAAACTGCATATATATATATATATATATATATATATATATATATATATTCCTTATAAACAACCCTAACATTCCAACCCATTCTCCATATTTTTTCCAGAGCAAACTTTATAAATGAAAATGTCATATCAACCCTTCCAGTGACCCTTCATGAAAAGGCAGCACCCACCTGTTTCCCCTCCTACACTCCCACGGTTGCTTTCTTCATTCTGCAATAGTAATCATTTGAAGTTTCATTTATTTGGTCTCAATTCCTCACTTCCATTTGTTTCTGGGATGATATTCTCTGCTATGCATCTAACTCCTAGTTAGCTTCACAGGTCAGCTAAGATTTTCACTTTTCCARTGCAGGACATTCTGGTCCAAAGCCCCTCCTCCAAGCACCAACCTGGTCATACCCTCGTCTTATATCTAACAAAGTAATTGTCTTTGCCTGTTCACTATTCCTTTTCTCCCAGTAAACCAGCAACTCCTTTAGTGCACAACCAGTCCTACTCATCTCAGTATCACCAGAACAGAGTCATGTAGGCACATGTTGAGCCACAATGAATAGAGATCAAATGGAAGCATTAAATTAATATGGTTTGCCCTCCTCACCACAAGCAAATGGTAACTATGGGGAGGCCACAGTCACTGTTTTAAAGACAAACCAAGGCTGTTTCAGGGCCAATGCATTCAGGCATTCACAYAGTTCACCCACCCACTCATCCACTATTCAGTATTCAGTTAAGATGATCCTGGCACTTACTCTTTTAGGCTCTAGGGACCAGTGGTATGCAAAAGGTAAGGGCTTCTGCTCTCACAGAAGCTGAAAGTTTAATTGAGGAGACAGACATTGACCAAACAATCACACCTAAAAACTTATACTAACAAATAACCATAAATATTCCAGAGGACACAAAGAAAGAAATGGGAGCATTCCGMAGAAGAATCTGCTGTAATCTGGTGGCAGAGGTGGGATGGTGGGGTAGTAGGGGAGAAAAAGAAAAAGGAAGGTTCCACAGAGGACGTGACATTTACTAAGGACTAAACTGAAATCAAGAAATGGTATTTATCATTAATGATTTTCTTCAAAGGGGCATAGATGGCAGAACACATTGAGCTGTGCTTAATGGCAACTCACATATTAAAAGAGAGCTAATAAATAACATTTATATATATTTCCAACCATATATATTACATATAATACATATAATTACATATATATGTACACATATATTATAATCATAAGTATATAAAATGATTATGTAAGCAACACCATTTTTTTCCTCAATGTCTGGAGATGGCAGCCCACCATACAGCCTGCTCTGAAGAATACACAGTGTCTAATGATTCCTGGCACACTATCTGAAATGCCAACTCTTTTGGAACTGTGGTCGTCATGGGGAAGAGCAAAACTTTGACAGTGGAGAAGGATTATTTCCAATGACTTAAGCACACAGRACAACTCTTTACTCCTTAAATGCCTTCTGCACCTCTACTTCGACTGTTAATTCCATTTTAATTATTGTTCCTTTTACTCATCTTTGTCCACTTGGCAAACTCCAAGTCACCTTTATGAAACAGTTCCAATGTTATGCCTCTATGAAATTTCCCCCTCTTCCTCTAAGTTACACTCATGGCTCTCTCCTTTGAAGCACCACTATAAATTGGAAATATTGCACTGTTATTCTTCACAGCTGAAGGAAGTTATGTTCATGGCCCGGATCTTCCTACCTTCATATTTCTGCATCTTTTGCCATGTATCTATCAGAACATATCTGCTCCTGTTCCCTGCACTGTTCCTTACCTCTGGATTAGGTTCTGATTCATGACTGAATTTAGCCAAAAAAAATAAGGCAAAAGAGACTGCACACCATTTGTAGTCTAGGCCTCAAGAGGCTTTAATGTATGTTGCTTGATCTCTTGTATCTCTGGCACTTCCATGAGAAGATCATGCTGGGATAGCCCACTGGTCGCCTGAGGAGGACCTGAGACATATGGAGCACAACCATGAGCACTCGGGTCCAATCTGGATAAGAGAGCCCTATGTAGTCTTGGATCAACTTGGAGCAGGCACCAAAACCCTAGTGAGTCCAGCTAAAATCCAAAAACTACCCATCAGAGCACAGACTAAATAAGCTGTCCACAGGCTAAATAAATWATTTTGGGGTTAAGGTAGTGAGCAGTGGTTGTGGTTTGCAACCAAAATAAAGTTAGAACTTCAGAACATAAGTAAATCAGTCCAAGTAGATTGTCTCCCCCAATGAGGGAAAGTGTAGGAATGTCTTATTTCTTAATGGTTAGAAAAATCAGCCAGAGGGTGTTCTGGAGTGAGGATGACTGAATCCAGAAGGCAGAAAATGCCATGCTATAGCTGCCTCTAGAAACTCCATCTTCCTTACAGGTTATACAAACATGATTAAGGTCCATTTCACTCAGGTCTCTAAATCAACTGGCTATCATGGATGTGCTTTTAAGTAGCTGACTGGCAAAGTTAAGAGAATGTATCTGAGGCTATAGGTTCTCCAGAAATCTCTAGGAGACAGAGAAAAATACAGGACTTTTAAAAAATTATTTATTTATTCTAATTTGTTATACATGACAGCAGAATGCATTTTAACTCATAGTGCACATATAGAGCACAATTTTTCATTTCTCTGATTGTATACAAAGTAGAGTCACACCATTCGTGTCTTCATACATGCACCTAGAGTAATGATGATCCCACCATCTTTCCTATCCCCATGTCCCCTCCTTTCACCTCCCTTTCCTTTGCCCTATCCAGAGCTCCTCCATTCCTCTCATGATCCTTTCCTGACCCTGGCCCCTATTATGGATCAGCATCCACATATCAGAGAAAACTTTAGCCTTTGGTTTATTTCACTTAGCATGATATTCTCCAGCTCCATCCATTTACCTGCAAATGCCATGATTTTATTCTCTTTTAATGCTGAGTAATATTCCACTGTATATATTTACCAGGGTTTCTTTATCCATTCATCTATTGAAAGGCATCTAGGTTGGTYCCACAATTTAGCTATTGTGAATTGTGCTGCTATAAACATTGATGTGGCTATGTCACTAAGTCCTTTGGGTATAAACAGAGGAGTGGGATAGCTAGGTCAAATGACAGTTCCATTTCAAGTTTTCCAAGGAATCTCCATAATGCTTTCCAGATTCATCATTCTAAATGGAGAAAAAATGAAAGTATTCCCTCTAAAATCTGGAACAAGACAGGAATGTCCTTTTTCACCACTTCTATTTAATATGGTTCTTGAAACTCTCGACAGAACAATTAGACAGACAATAGAACTTAAAGGGATATGTATAGCAAAAGAAGAACTCAAACTATCACTATTTGCAGATGACTTGATTATATACCTAGAAGATCCCAAAAATTCTACCAGAAAATGTCTAGAACTAATAAATAAATTCAGAAAAGTAAAAGGATATAAAATCAACACCCAACTATCAAAGGAATTTCTGTACATCAGTGACAAATCCTCTGAAAAAGAAACTAGGAAAACTATCCCATTTTCAATAGCCTCAAAACAAAACAAAAAAAAACCTTAGGAATCAACAAAAGAGGTGAAAGACCTCTAAAATGAAAACTACAGAACACTAAAGAAATAAATTAAAGAAGACCTTAGAAGATGGAAAGATCTCCCTTGTTCTTGGATAGGCAGAATTAATATTATCAAAATGACCACAGTACCAAAAGCACTATACAAATTTAATGCAATTCCAATCAAAATCCCAATGACATTACTCATAGAAATAGAGAAAGCAATCATAAAATTCATTTGGAAAAACAAAAGACCCAAGTAGTCAAAGCAATTCTTAGTAAGAAAAGTGAAGYAGGTAGCATCTCTATACCAGACCTAAAACTATACTACAGAGCAATAGTAACA